AAGAGCCAAGAGGGAAGTGAGATTGGGCTCGATTGTGGACGGCGCCAGTGGAACATCGGCAAAACTACAAAGATGCTTTGTGGAGCCCTTCCGTATCATTGAACGGATTGGTGCCCAATCCTACCGACTGCAGCTTCCCAATAACTGGCATATCCATGGTGTGTTTCATGTGAGCCTACTCAAGGCATGGTGTGATAGTGATTGGGATCAGCAGAGTAGGCTCCTGTTCCGGAAATTGAGATGGCGGATGACGAATACGAAATAGAGAAGTTGCTCCGGTGGCAATATGTTTGGATAGGGAATAGAAGGACTCGTGAGTTTCTTATCTTGTGGCTTGGCTGGCCGATTGAGGATGCTACTTGGGTACCAGAGATAGAAATTAAACCTCCCGAGGATGTACCAATGATGATTGAGAGGGGCCAACCAATAGAGGACACGGGCAGATCGAATAGTGGTTCATGATTTGATTTTTGGGACGAAAATACTTAGAGGGGGAGTGATTATCAGATTATGAACGGTCAGGACATTTATTATTAGAATATGAAGTGTATGGGTATAGTGACAATACACTAAGGCACAGGTGTGGGTGCTATGATATGGATTGTTTCCGCACCAGTGACCCGCGAGTTGGTCACCGTATTTAAGTGGTGAGTGCGGTGTAGTAATCATTCCTTTCTTGCGCAAGCAAAATTGCTCCCGCAACCCGACCCCACGACTTTGGCCAACCTGGCCGGCGGAGCCCGCGAGCTCGCCTGTCCCTGAGCATATCGCCATGAACGCCGTGTCCAACATGCGTAGTCCGACCATTTGGACCCGGCAGAGGCGGAGCATCGAGCGGCTAACCACCACATGCATTGGAGGTCCCCTCGCGACAGTGAGGGCCCGAAGAGAAGCCGACACAGAGGTTCAGTGTGAGTGGGAAGGGGATGTGGCAAGTTGCAAGTGTATTTAGTTGGCGGTTGACCAGCAGATGGCGTCTCGTTGTGGAACAAACCCAAACCACATGTAATTGGTGCCTTGCGGTATATTGTTGTGTGTTTGTTTGTTCCTTACATGGATGCATCGACATGATGTCACGGCATCGATCAATGTAGTGCACCATCCAGTGTATGACGGGCATGTCCGGGCCCAACTATGTACCCTAAAAAACACGCCTCTAATGGTGGCCACAGCAGCCACCGAATCCCTGGAAGCTTCCCCATAAAAACAAGAGAAATGTTTGCAAGCCAGAAATCAGAGTGATGGACTATTCCTCAATCACCTCCTTTGCTCGAATGCGTTCGCTCACTGAGCTCAGAAAAGCTCCCAATCGGCCGCAATGTTTCCAAACCAGATTGCACAGATTCGATGTATCAATCCCGTCCGAATTCAGCCACTTCTCGTGCAAATCGATCACCCCTATGCAATCCACAAGAAAATGTTCCCGGTGATAGTATTTCTCGCATAACACACAATGGACCAGCTCGTCATCATCTTGCGGTATTTTGAAACTGCCAAGGTGGCAGTACACAGTCATAAAACGCGCCACCCAAACATGTTCGGAGCGTTGGCAGCGATCAGTGTCATCAGGGCTCCAGGGCGCTCCAGAATCCGGCAGAAGGTCATGCAAAAGGCGTTAGGTGTCAGCGTTGTGCCATCGACGCTGCCATTCATGGAGCAGAGCCTCGTCCACAATTTCCAGAACTTGATGCTTGTGCACACAAAGAACATCCACTGATTGTCGTTTGATGGTCGTCCGCCGAAACCAAGCCCCGCCCAGCTCGTCCGGTGTAGTATATGAGTGGTGGACCGTGGTGGGGGCTGTGCTCAGGGCAGCTCTGCGGTACCTATACATGTATCTCACGAGCGATCTCATGATGTGCAATCTGGTTGGACCAATGCCAGCTAGAGCAAGAGATGCCTCAATAGAAGTAAAACGTTCCAAACTGAAAGCCATTCGAGCAGCCTGTGCCAAAGTCCCATCAATCTCGTTCAGTCTGCACTCAATTCCCAAAACCGCAGCCCAAACAGGAGCCCCATAGAAAAGGGATGGAATGACCACCCCCCTCACTAACTGCAAGAAAAGTTGAGGATGCAGTCCCCAGCTGGTCCCAACTCCCTTTTTCAATGCCCATATCCGGGCTCTTGCTTTAGCCACTGCCTCACGAACATCATGTTGGCCATGATGGCGACTCCAGGTCATGTGTGCATCAAACCAAATACAAAGATATCGCAGCTCATGAGTGTATGGCAGTTTCTCCCCATACAGAAAAGCAGTGAATTCTCTTTCCACAACTATTGCTTTCCCACTGAAAGTTATGCACTCGCATTTTTTGGGGTTGAAAACCATGCGCCACATATTGGACCATTTTTCTGCTCTCCACAAGGCATATTGCAGCATTGGGTGAACTGTTCCAGAACGAAGAGCACCACAAATCCATAAAGCTAAATCATCTGCAAAGCCTTGGGCTTGGAGACGTTGCAAGGTGTCAAGGTTGCACAGTAAATCATTGATATAAACTAAAAACAGAGTAGAAGAAAGTGGCGATCCTTGGGGTACACCACACTGAGTCAGAATTGTTTTGGTGTGATCCCCCACCTCCACACAAGCTACCCGTTTGCTCAAATAGGACTGAACCCATCCCACTAAGTAATCGTCAATGCCTAATGTCTCTAATTTGGTTTATTGCTGTGTGTGCCTCCCACAAACTCGAGCAAGCTTGGGTGGAAATCCAGCTGTTTGTGACTCATGCTCGGGGCGTTTGTTCCAATCTGCGCAGATGGGGCGAAGCCACTCCTACTATCGGGGGCTGGCCAAGGACTAGTTCCGACCAGTCAGGGGGAAGGTAGGTGTGCGTGGTGGTGCACGATAGCATGTCTTGACTGAGACCAAGGCCAGTTCCAGCCTTTGATCTCCCGGGAACCAGAATGTTGGGTAACCTAGCGTGAGTTACGCAGGTGCCTGGGGCTGGGACTGTTCTAGAGTGCATGTTGACCCCCAACAAGTGCTTTCATAAAAGGATATTGGGTTGTTGGCATGGTGGAGATGTCTAGGTCAATATACTAGTCATGGGGCTGGAATGCATAAGTAATTACTAATCCATCTTAGTTATTGACTCATGCTAACTGATGTACAATGGTTTGGGATGTGTAGACCTGTACGGTATATGCAAGGTTGTGTCACACGTTGTACTGAAGTGGAGAGTTATGTTATAAGGTGGAAAGGTCAGACCAGGGTCCGACATGACCTGGTGTGTACGTCTGACCAATATCCAGGTTGTGCTCATGTTATAATACCTATTTTTAAAAGGTTGCTATTTATAAGCTGAGGGTGACAGGTCCACTTGTGGGACTTCACTTACCACCACATGTACGATTGTGTGTACGGTGGGAAGTGTACTATTGCTTTTTTCTAGATGCTGAGCGCAACCAATTGCATGGGAGTACTGCGGAACCATTGGCACTGACTAGGTGGTCGAGCGCGGAGTACGACTATTGCAAATGCATTAAATAACCGTCATCTACTGTCATTGTGGCAATTCCCATTTGAAGCTTTCCATCTGCGTTCATTCATCAGACATCATTCTCGTTTTCTCCCCATTCTCGAGAATGGTCAACACATCCCAAACTTGAAGCAATCGAGAATACGATGTATTGTGCATCGCACGCAAGAATGGCCTACCAGGTGGCATTTGTGGATTCCGGGTTGAGCCGCATATGAAAGCCTCGATTTAAGCATCAACCAAGGTGCAATGTCCAAGCAAGGCTACCACCCAATCTTGGAGAGATAACCCACATTGGACCCAGCCTTCGAGTTCTTGGACCTTGCCCTATTTCTGCTTGGTGAAGGTCTGCACATCAGAGATTGAGAACATTGCAGATTTCCAGCGCCATCGTTGCTGTGGCAATGGCCAGCTTCGAGATGGATCCAAGCACAATTGGGTGAGTTTGGCAAGAGCTACACCACATGCTGGCTGCCCCCCTTTTGCCATGGTAGTGGCAACGACTAGCGTTGCTACTTGCAAGCATGGGAGCGGCCCATAATTGAGGGGGTCTTTGGGAACAAATCTGAACAAGGTTTTCCATAACCAACCCAAGGTGATTTTTGGAGGCTGCTCAGAGGGGTAAGGGCCGGCTTTTCCCTTGCAAATTGGAACCAAAGGGTTTTGAGACCAATTCTTTCCGATTCTGGACTCCTTTTGCAATTGAAAAGCCGTTTCCATACCGAAATCTATCTTTCACATTGACGACAATTAATGCGGGATGCAAGAAGTACATGACAAGACGGAAAACACATGCATTTGAGTTGCTATAGCCAAAGTGGCTTGCCCTCTTGCAATTAGATAGGGTGATTCGACCTTAAGAGAGACGATCGACGGCAGGTTTCGCACTATTTGCTGCTAGTGAGATGCCTCATGCGCGAATGGAGAGCACGGAGCGCTCGCCGTGCTTGCCACTGTGCCTTGCGACACAGCACTGAAAACCTGACAGAGAGAGGTAATACATGCTACAAAACCGGCCGACTCCTACTCACATCCCAACGGACACACGAAACCCCAGATGGCAACTCCTGCCACCCACTAACTGGGATAATAACTTACCCTCCGCCCAACATACCGTTCGACATGCATGCCACACACCAATCCGCCTGACTTTTCCCACAAGCCACAACATAACCCCTTTCCAAGTAGCTGCCACATTCCCAAACACGTTCGCTCCCAGGTCCTCTATCTAACCACCATCTCCCCACAACTCTACTTATAGCCGCTTCTCAGCTTGCACAGCCAACTACCACGTCACCGACCCACCACGCAAGCTCTCCACATCTGCATATCTACCCCTCCAGCCCCACGCTGTGTCCAAAACCACCTCAACTCCAATCGCACACATGCGAACACACATGTGAGCGATGCGTACGGACACACTGAGCTCGGCACACCCCCTTGCCTTGCCACGTGCTGCGTTGGCCATTATACTACTCCTACCTCTGCCCTAGAACCCACAAATCCCCACGCTCACAATCATGAAGAACCCCCCTCGAACGGCTGGTTGTCGTGCCCCAGCGACCCCTCGGCCCCTCCACACCTTCCCTCCCCCCCGCCATGCAACACCCCAGGGCCAAACAGCCCCAGCCTGGCGTCCCCCTGCCAGCCATGAGCTGCCCAGCCCACCTCTGCCACTGGCCACTGCTGTGACACTGCACCGCTAGCGGCAGCGCGGCTCAACACCTCGTTCGCAGCATCACGGACACCACCGGTGGCTCCCAGCACTCCCAGCATCTGCTGCCAGGACGAGCCAAAAAGAGCAGTCCCATCAGCGCTCCTGAGCCCCTCTGCACCTGGGCCACCAACTCCAGATTGTGCGAGCTGCTGGCCGTGCACGTTTACTGGATTTGCGGTACTTCCAGAAGATTGTGCCACGCCCCATGGCGCATGTGCGGCAGGCTGGTCAGGGTGGGTGGGCACAGATGAAGGCATGGAGCTGCGTGGCAGGAACAGCGGTGGCGGAGAAGGGGAAGGAGCTTGAGGCTGTGGGCTGGCGGGCCCCAAGGACCCGCCCTTAAGGCGAGCGAGGTGGTTTAAGTCTGTGAGCAGCTGGAAGACGTTCATGGTGGACTCGGGCTGTGCCCCACTGTGGGTGGCCCCCTGCGACATGGCCCTCCTGAGCACGTCTTGCACCAGGCTGAGCACCTGGGGAGTCACGGTGGCCACCCCACCTGCTGGAATGACAGAGGATGCGTCAGCATGGCCGTTGATTTCCCCAGCCTGTCGATCGATAGGTGTTGAGCTCTACCTGCTGCGCTTGCTCAAAATTACTAACTGTACAGATTTTTTTCAGGCATCCAAACACTGCTACGATCTTTCTGCTTCGTCGTGGCAACCAGACACAGATGGAATGACTCACGCAAACACACAAAGGGACTGTGGAACTGGAGGAGGGCACATGCAACGATGGCTGAAGAGAACAGAGCAACGACTTGTAGGACATATGTACAACAAAAGATGCAAAAACAGAAAGCTGAAAAGCAAAAGATAGTTGTGTCAGCACGCTGCTGCATATCTTGAGCAAGTGCACAGCCCACTCCCCCCACTTTGTGAGCAATGGAGCTGGTGTCAGTCAGCGACCTGATCACAGCAAAAGCAAGCAACATATGCTTTGGTTAACTGTCCCAAACACATTCTCATTCGTTGACATCGTCCCTGCATTTGCGGGTCGATGTCTAGTGCAGCTGTGGCCTGCCCACCTTGTCCTGTCTTTGCTTCTGTTGAACCCCTGCTACTGGCAGCCATGCCCATCCGTGGGTACCCTGGCGAGCACATTTTGGAGGCAGGGGTTCAGCAATCAGGTTGCAAAAGCAGTCCCACACAGCCATTGTGGGTCGTGCATATGAATAATAAGTACATGTTACTAGACAAATAATTACAATTCTACTTCCTCCGTCCAAGATTAATTGTCTTCTATTTGAAAGATAAAATTTGTTACCTAAACCGCTTCCATTGTACTAAAAAAGGTCAGAATCGAAAAGATTGGGTCCCAAAAACCTTGACTACCAAATCTTGTGCAAAAAATACTCATCCCCACTACTTTTGACGCCCCCTTGAAGTTGCGTAAGATTTGGTCAAAAATTGTGCTTTCTAATTCGGCGAATGTTGAAGATCCAAATGGTTCTCGGTCATTCCCACCCCAGGCATGCCAAACCGAAGTCGTTGCTGCCATCGTGGCGAAGGGCAGTATCCCTCTCGTGGTTTAGCGCTTGCCAAACACGCTCAACTGTGTTTGGATCCCCATCGAATAAGCCTGATGTCACAACATCGACGATGGCAGAAATCGCCGCCCTCCCTGTTCTCTGATGCGAGGACTCACCACAAGCGGAAAAGGCAAACGCCCAACATGCTCAAGCTTTGGCTCCGTGCGTGCTATCATTCTAAGGTTGTGATATAACTTTTTCTTTAACATAGCACCTTGATTGATGTTTGAATCGAGGCTTTCGTGTGTGGCTGGGCCTACACTCCCAAAAATTGGCGCTAGCCGCCAACTTGTAAGCGCGGTCTGCAACCCTTCCCAATCTACAGTCTCTACTTGTGAGAGAGACAGAAAATGATCTATGTGACCGTTCACTTCGTGTTCCACCTTTTCAATTGTTGAGGCAAGGATCGACTTTGCCATCCCGCCTTGGAAGCCATTTCCCTAATCGTCCACCATTGATAAGGGTGATGGCCATCACATTCCTTTGCACCTCTTCGAGGTGCTTGGGAGGCCTTGCGCGGTATCTCTCACAATAATGATGGAGTTTCAAAGGTCAAGGGCCTAAAATCTGGGCCAGGAATGCATCCCCGAACTAGCCAATCGATCTCGAATAAGGTCAGCGAAGCCACGGCGACTTCCACGATCAAGCCCACCAAGACACATTTTCCACCTCTTTGCTTCTTCGCAGTGACGTGTCTGAGTTTCTGTCCAAACGGCATGGACAACTTTGCATGGGCAGTCTTGTTTAGCCGCCGCAAAGTTGTGCTCCTCACCATCGCGAAAAATGGCTGTTTCAGTGATTTTGTTTGAACACAGGAGGGTTTTTGGCAGAAGGACCCTACTACAAAGTGCTGCCAAATCATCAATACTTAACGGATTGACCTGAAATTTTGACCGTATACTCCCAAAACATTGGCGTACCGTTGGTGGAAATTTCATTGAATAATGAAGCATTTGTGATGGAGAAGTAGGCGGCAAAGTCATAGAGGACAATTAATCTTGGACAGAAGAAGTAATAAATAAGCAAACAAACGAATAGTTGAATATATCAACAAATGCTTACTTTGTCCAGAATTGAATGAAACAATTTGCTTGAGAGGCCACATTTGTATCACGCACTTGCCCGTTTTCCTTCCAAATTGGAGTAGAGCACCCTTAAGAAGCTCATCAAGTGCTACCAAACTTATATGGAGAGCGGATAAGTGCCGGTCACATGGCAGTGCTTTAAACCCTTGTTGACTCTGGCCAAGAAATCGAATCTTCTCAAGGTCTCGCCAAATAGGCCCCCAAATGGGGTTTTTGGCTGGGTCGCCTCGCTGCTGACGGTGCATAGCACAAAGTGGATATATAGCCGCCATCGTGGCTGCATGCTGGTGGCATTCTTCCCAAAGAGGAGAGACCGCGGAACCGAGTTCCGCACCGCTCGATTCTCCATTGCGACCATGTTTTGACAGGCTAGTGAAGATTTCAGCCTCGGATCAGAAACGCGGAAATCGGCGAACTTCACAATCATGGCATTCACAAAAAGAGCCGGCGCCATGGGCATGGTCGCTGTAGGCGCTATGACCACAATGAAGAGAGTTTGGAAGAATGTGATAGTCACCTTGCTGCATGGCAGTGAAAAGATTGCTAGAATTGCCTGTGCTGCGCATATGCCGCAAGGAGCACTTTGAGCACCGTTTAAGACGCCGCCGCGGCCGATTCTCATGGGTGATACTGGAAAACACAAGAACAACACCGTAGAGACACTTGGGTCTCCGATTGAGCATCTGCACCCCCCATCCTCGCGTTTGATGGGGTTGATGCTTGCTTGTGTGGTGGTCTTCCTTATGCTAGGCAAGCCATTAATTGGAGATCTTTGCTGAGCAACGAGATTTTGACCCACAAAGCTATTATCTTAGGACACCAGGAGACCTATCACCAATGGCCAATCCCAGGCATGTTGGTGCGCCACTGTGGACGCTGGCGTGGATTGCCAGTGAACACTTATGGAAACGGGCAGATCTAGCTGCCACTTCTGCTGATCTTCCTTTGTGAAGCACGCCGATCTCTGGGCTAAAGCCCGAGCAACGAGGCAACCCCTTACCCTTCTGATACCGCGACGGCCACTGAAAAGGGTATCATTTGTGTGTGCGGTCTCCCTGGATCTAGGGCATCTAGGGCATCGGGTTTGGTGGGCCCACCAATGGGCTTGGAATGTTGAAATTTGGGGCCTGAGTCGTGTGGCTTTAAAGCATTACCCAGTGCATGAATCTTGTTTTCTACCAACGAATTTTCAACAGCAATGACTAAACACAGAATGGGTGCTCTGATCCAATTTTCAAAGAAAAGACAAAGTATATGATACAAATGTGGCCAGTCAACAACTTGTTTCATATAATTCCTGACGGAGGAAGTAGATAAACAACAAAACAACAAATGAATAATAAATGAATAAGTAAGTAAATAAACAAATAAATAAACGACAAATAGAAGCAAGTATTGGACTGCGACGTAGCGGAGCAGGAAATATACAACAGCAAAGCACAATGTTTGCACACCTTTGCCTCCATGGCCAGTGGAGGTCTGGACATTGGACGGCTCGTCAAAACCATGATCTTGGCCACAGACCGGTGGTGCGTTGGTGTTGCCAGCACCAGATTTAGGGAAGCTTACACCAAACAACGGCGGAGTTGAGGAGAGGGCTGATGGCATGGGTGCTGCCTCCATGGTAGGTAGTGTTTGGGCCTGGCACAACACATGGCAAGGATCCTCAGCACAAAGAGGCAGAATCTGCTGTTGTGCCAGGTTAGACCTGGTGTGCACAACGCAATTACTCATTCCCTTTCACACGATGAATTCTCAGAATTCTGCATGGCGCCAGGGCACACCTGGTGTGCACAACGCCTCCTGTTTGCGATTGCTCCTTCCCTTCCACACGCTGAATTCTCGGAGTACTGCGTGGCGTCTCACTGTTTGTGAGGTGGCACAAGGCCCCATATCACTTCTGTCAGGATGAGGGCTTCCGATGAGTCAAGTGATACTTCACGGTATAATTAACATGCGTGCTTGCAACCAGAAAGAAACATGCTTTCTAGAGATAGACACTTCACAAGCAAACAATGCTGTGGATAATCTTGCCCTTCAACAGTCCAAAGGCATTGACACTGTCGAAATGTGACTGTTGGCAATGATGGTCCGAATTTCGCCAGGCTACTACCACCTATTAACAAAAAGTGCACTTTTGCTCTACCTTCCACATCACCAAAGACATACCATGGATTGTACTGTTGGTACTGTACAAGCGTGGAAATACTGCACAAGCCCAGCCCTGGCCTGGCCACATAAAGTGAATGCATTCAGGGCACAAGCTTGGGCCAAAGGTACAGTAAAATACTTCTGTGAGTGCCAATAAGTAACGTGCATGTGATCATGAGGCATCTATCCAAAGTGCATTCAATACATCTTCACATACTCCATTAAGTTTCTTCAAGTATTCTTTGTTGCTTGTTTCAATTTCAACATACTACCTCTGTTTCAAAATATGTGTCATCTTCATTCTTGCTATACTTTGCAAGTTCAACTCAATCAATCAATCCGTCACCAGATTTGGAATTCTTGGTTGGTTTGGGTTAATGTGGATCTTGCACAGTAGTCATCGCCATACAACAAGAAATTCACAGCCCCACCAAAAGTGTTCCTGTCCATCTCCATCAGGACACCCATTCGCCGTAGTTTTGTGGTAAAGTTATCCCCATGTGTGCCAGCCTATTTCCCCGATATTATTAAAGAATCTTGTTGTAGGCAATAAGAGGCACTACCATAACCTTCCAAAAGTTTTGGCATCATTGCAATCATACTATTTATGGACCATCTCTTCTGCTATGGTTAATCTTTTCTTCGAAATTCTCAATTTTAACGATTGGCCATATTGGCACCAATCTAGGCCGTGCTGGAGATAGCTTCAGCATGCACAACATTCCTGAGCTTGGTGTGTCAGCTAGGTCGAGCTCTTGCACTAATCTAGGTGCCTTTTGGCCTTTGGCCACAACATACCCACAATTCTTGTTGACAGTTAAAAAGTCTGCAGCAACCCAGCATCGTTTGCTGTGCAGATTCTGCGTTGAATTTGCTTGAATCATCAGTGTATACCAGACCACCAGGTCAATCATCTTTCCTAGACACAGCTCAGCTCGATCCACCTCCTTCAAAGGGCGAGACGAGCTTGCCATACTCCTCTCAAGGTCCCGATAACATAAAAAATGGCGTTTTAGCTCTTCTAAACATATCGCGAGAACAGTGATGTCAATTGTCATGTTCAGGGGCTCTTCAGAAAGCTCTTGATATGGCGTGTCAAAGTTGTTTCGGTCAATTTTTCAAACTCGCACGTTTTGACCTCCATACATGCAAATTACAAATGCAACATGATTTTTGGAACAGAGGTAGTATTCAAAGATCCCTTGCAGGCGTAAGGCTCCAGGCGGCAAAAGGGTTATAAGCAAACTCACATTGGCGGAGGCGGCTGCATTTTCTGCCCCATGGGGCACCATCCCAGCCAGGTCACCAGAAGGCAGGAAGGTAGGCAGTGCCAAGCTGTTTGAGGCGCCAAACATGCTGCTCAGCAGCTGTGGGTCCACGTAGGTCGGTGGGGCAGCGCTGTTTGGCGGTGAGCCCTGACCCGCTGCCTTGGGAGGTGGCCCAAACAGAGGGAAGGACCCCTGATCCAACACAGACACATCACCACGATTGCATCTTTGATTGGGAAGAAGCGAGGGGTCAGAAGCAGCCACAACAAACCTGTCCTGTTTGGTACCTGTTTGATGGGTCAGCGCTGTGGGGCATGACTTGATTTTATGATTCCTCACAAGGATGACACTGGGGTGGCATTGCAACCCAAGACAGCAGGTCAGTGCACCAGAGGTGACTGCAGCCACAAGCAGTCACCAGTGATATGTGACTGCTGCAGGATGAAATACTTGCTGGAAGCGTAACCTCAGACGACTGAGTTAGCAGTTGTGACCACATGAGGACGCGCTGATGTGACAGCACAACTCTGCGATGTGACAGGATGGAGTGCCAGCCTCTCCCTGTCACATCAGCAGGTGCCTGAAAATGATATGTATCACAACAACATATGGCTATGGCTACTATGGACATGACCTAGGTCATGTTGCTATCCAGATTCGCAGTGCTAACCTATTCTGAACCTTTTGGCACAACAGTGCGATGCTCAGCTGCTTCTGTCAGCTCACAACATGGAAACCACACACCTTAAGAGAAATGCCAAAACAAAGAAGTCGTCACCCAAACTGGCAAAATCCAAACATCAGACACTGGCAGCGCCCACAGAGTCTGTGCGTTGTGCCCACCAACCCTGACATATTGAAGCAACCATTGGCTGTCCATGATGGTAAATATCTATCAGTCTGGCCATCAAAGTTTGTTCAGCAATCAACTGGTTATTGACGAATTGATACGTTTAAATGTCCGCCTGAACAACTGGCACCAGACGCCTCACCTGCAGTCCAGAGTGTGGCCCAGGATGTTCCACAAATCCATCAAGATGCAGCTGGCCCACAGCCGACCGGCCAAACCGCGGGTCCTCAGACTCCTGCAGCGACTCATCCACTGTTCGGTGTTCCACAGGCCCCTCACGCTTGAACAGTGGTGGGTGTGTCACCACATCCTCCTTGTGGAGTGTGCGACGTTGCGCACACGTCAGCTCCTGGACCGGCTCAGCATTCAACGTCCTGTCCAGTGCCTCCAACACAGGATTGGCCGCCTGTCTGCCCAGGCCACCTTCTGCGATGTCTTCCTTGGGTGCCCCTGCCACACACCAACACCTCTCTAGTCATGTGTAAACCACTGAGTACCGTAACACATTCGACCCTTCTGTGTAGTAACGTAATGCTCAGCATTTTTTGCAGAGAAAATTATTAGGCACTAACGCAATGCTTGGCCCTTTGGGGGAGCAACATATAAACATACAAATAGAGCTTCGAAAAACAAAAATGCAGAGGAAAAAATGTAACAGTAAGATTTTCTGATGCGGAAGAATCGAATATTCTATGGTACACCAAGGACCGCAGAGGACCACCAAGTATCACCACTGAGGACCACCGAGTGTTTGGTCCACTTGTACCCCTACTACCATGGTTCCAGCCCTGCTTCCAGTGCCTCATAGTGCTGCAAGCCTGAAAGGGGGCTTAAATCATTACAACCAGAGGGGATGCTCCAATGTTCAGTTGTCTTCTGAGCTGTACTTCAGCTGTACTGAATTGTACTTCAGTTCCCCGAACTATCTTTCAGTTCAAAGTTCAATTCGATCTGTGCATATGTGTTGCCGGCATGTTCGAAGAGCTCTTAGCATGAGAGAGCCATGCCAGCTTCTATGTTTCAGGTGATTTGATTGACATCCACCACAACGATCCCTTCCCATAGGAATCTGGATTTTTGTGTTGGTCATGGACACTTGAACAGGCGATTATCACCACAATCACTGTATGAAAATGGACATGCACTTGAGCCAGCGGCACAGCATGGACTTTTGCTTCTCCATGCAATGCAGCAGCAACAACCTGCACATGCCTGTGGGGATGGCAGCCATTTCTGAGCCATTATTGTGTGTGTATGTGTGTGGGGGTATCTCCTTCATTGCCTGTCCAGTGCAAAGGCAGTCCCTTTTAATTGCTTTAGGGCAATCCATTCTCCATCTGCTGGTACATGTACACCTTGCAAATGAGGGTGGCCGTGATTTCCCCAAGTCCAGCAGACAGGCCCAAGCTGATCACAAAGGTACATAGTGTTTGGAGATACAAGTCACTCTAGAGTTTGCATTGCACTGCATGATGAGCAACGACAAAGGACCAACACACACACCTCTGGCCTTGCTGCCCACTCCCTCATCCCGACCTGCCACCTCTTCAAACCCCTCGTACTCAACCATCGCTTGCCCCTTGGAGTCACCTGGCCCCCCTACCAGAAAAGACCTGGCCTTCTCACCAAACCGAAACTGCATACGCCCGCGTGGAAGCGCATCAGGCCTGCACGTCCGCCGCTGCTGTTGCTGAGGCAGCTGCTGTTGAGCCTGTTGTTGCGGTTGCTGTGCAATTGACCGCTTGGGTCTTGTCCTCGGGCTTGGCTGCGACACGGCCGCAGGGCGGGGGCGTTGGCTGGGTGGTAGCATGTGCTGGATGCTGAACTTGCGGGCATCGGCAGTGGACCTCCGTTTCTTGAGCTGCTGCTTGAGGCGCACGCGTTCGAACACCTCCAGCTTCTGGTTCTGGTAGTAGAAGCCGATGCAATCTGCAGTCGTTCGGTGCTCCAGGAAACTGGCGACAGTGCGGAAGTCCTGTGCAGTGGCACACAGTTTCAGCACTGGCACCCCAGCAAGACTGGGAATCCTGAGAATCAAGTCACAAATGACAAGATGCCAGTCCACCCAGCAGGTGTGGGAACAGATGGGCACGCTTGAAGCAGCACTGCATTGAACACCATGACAATTGCGCACCATCATAACAGTGGTTGGATTCAGCACAGTGTAGTGCAGGTCCATCTCTTATTTTCGTTCTTGTTATTTCTTGACATTAGAGGCCAGATCCATCACATCCACAATTCATAACTGGATGCCCAGACCCATCAAATCTACTGCTGTACAGCTGATGGTGCTGTACTTAACAAAAAGTCGTAAAAGGGTACCCCTCACACCCAAAACACAGTCATCACAAACAAAGAAATCCGATGTGAATCCTGTGCAAACCATTAGGTAATGGTTGGGGGGTCATGTCCAACTGCATCTGACAGTGCCAATCACCCAGACCAACTTTTGCAAGCTAAAGAGGCATCAGCATTGCCACATACCACCCATATCCACTTTTGCAATCCCAAAGAGAAATCTGCCCAATCGGAAGCTCCCGTCATGTGTGGAACCACCATTTCAAGAGGTTGAGTACACACATACAAATAGGATGCTGCTGTGCCCTTTGTTGCAACTTGTTTTCGACAAGCATTATGTGGTTTATGATTAAACAGTAACAGCTCTTATGAGCCACCAAACTTGCTGGCTGGACACTGCTTCTGTCACTTGCTGGCTTCTGCTTCTGGCAAGTGCAAGCCACAGCAAGAAATCAAGCTCACCTTGGGGTGCTCAATGAATTTGTCCATGAACACCTTCTTCTCATCTGCTGACCACGGGTTGCAGTTGTCCTCCTCCAGCAGCTGGGCCTCTGGGTCCTCCACGAGGCGATTCTTGTCCACAAAGATCCGGCCATGATCCCAGGTGCCAGTGCATGACTCAGGCATCTGGCACATCTCTGCCAGCTCCTTTTTGCCCATTATCTCCCTCATGATTTTGGCCTCTTCATATTGGCTCTTTGGGCGGAAGGACCCACGGCCTGGCTTCTTGGGACCCAACAACTCGCCAGTCCCTGTTACCTCTGTACAACAGGCAATGCAACATATGAGTCGCCCAGACGTTACATGTCGCATGCCAAGTGCCACTCGTATGTTCGATGGCCAAGGTCGCTTGCACATAACTTGACAGAGCTTCCCAGTACTCTTCCTTCCAACAATTATGTTCTCATGTTCTTTGGTCCCGTCTGCTTTGTTTTGCGTGCTTTGCGTGCTTGCGTGCTTTGTGTGCTGTATGTGTTGTGTGTGCTTTGTGTGTTTCGTGTGCTCTGTGTGTATTGTGTGTTTTGCGTTTGTGCTGTACCAGAGGTCACTTCTCCAAGATGTTGGAGCAATCAGGCAGAAGATGCAGGCCTCAATTCGAGCAGGGAATCCCTCAAGAGAGGTTCTCCACCAATGGACCTATTTTGGTTAGCACTTCCCAAATACTTCCAGAAAGTATTCTACAGTGGGCTTCTACAATGCTTCTAGAATACCAACAAGCCAGTGTTGAAGCCAGTGTTGGAATTTATGTAACAAAAGCTTAAGCCCACTCCCAAGGCGGTCGCCACATCTCTCGATTGAGGCAATTGTGCTCCCAACACAATGCTTCAGTCAAGCAAACAATTGCCAGTTGGGTACTTGCTGCTTGCATATATGCATGGAAAGGTCCCAGCTCGTACTTGCTAGAATGAGGTGCTCCATAGTCTAATATCAGTTTCTCTTCTGGGGGTTTGCATACCTTTGGAGAGAGACACACACACACACACACACACACACGCACACACACAAAAGAATTCTGGCAAAACTGGTAGCATCGCACAGGTTGCATATCGCCCTTTGCAGCAAAAAGGACACAAACAACGTGCAGAGGTGACACAACAGGCACATGGCTACTTCAAGACTGCCTACAAACAGAAAATCGCCCGTGTTCCACATAACGAAGTCAACGTACATGCCTTTCACCAACAGCAGGTACAGCATATGCATCACAGAACATATGGCAAGTGTCACAAGTAGTACAATGCACAGGCTGCGCACCTCGCTCCATAAACAGCCTGAACTCATCTGCACGCCTGGAGTAATCTTCCTGCAGTGACGCCTCAGTGGCTTCTCTTCTGTTTTGCCGGACCCTCACTATCCTGGCAAGTGCCAACAGTTCATGGGAGCTCGGGGGCAAGGGGCACGGAAGCATTGGACCCCAGTCTGGTTTCACAAACCCAGTGGGCAGTGTGGACTTGGCCCCTCTTCGTGCCTCCTTCGCAGTCGCCATGTTCTGCTTCACTATGTCGACACACCGATTGTCCTCAAAAAGGCCGGATGAGGAGGATGGGGCCAAGTGTCCCAAATGCTGTTCTGTGGTGCTGAGTTCCGGGTCGGACGCTAGTGAGGCAGTGTCAAGGTGCTGGCCAGATGGAGGTAGCGGGGAACGGTCAGTGCTCTGCTCCATGCTCACAGTGCGTTCTGCGACACTGGGTTGTATCTCCGGCTCCGCCGGACCGTCGGTGTCCTTGTTGGGCCCCTCAACAGTGCCTGGCTTTGACAGCTCCTGTAGGTGTGGAGAAAGCAGGCTGCGAGACTCACACGATGTGCCACATGACCCTGATAACCGATCGGCCTCAGCATCCTCCAACCCTCCTGCCCCCTCTGAGCTCGATGCCCAATCTGCACCATCAGCAATAGTCTCATTCTCGATGTTCTTCAGACCTTTCCCGATCTCTTCAACGGCCTGGCTGCGTTCATGTTCCACACGCTTGTTCTCCGTGATCGCCCTTTCCAACTCGTCCAGCTCCTTTTCCAGCTTTTCCATCTTGTCAGCGATCTGCTTTGCCTTCTCCTGTGCAACTGCCGGCTCTTGTGCCAGAGGCTCCGCATCCTCATCAGCTGTTGATCCCTCCGCCTGGGCTTCTTGTGGGGATGCGCCAGGGCTTGCTGAACCATCCTCATTCTGCTTAGAGCCAGGCTGCTTCTTCGATATTGAGTCGCCAAAGCCCAGCTTGCGCTGCCTCTTTCCCTGGCCATCGGAGCCATCCCACACCTCGCCACACCCTTGGTCCAGGTCCTCACTCCCCCTGGGCTCCAGCTTCACATCACACACCACAGCCTCCCCATCTTTCTGACCAGGCAGCAAGAGCCTTGGCTCGAGCTGAACGTCACCCCAGCCCTTCCCAGCCACAGGCGACCCTGACTTCAGGCTCACAGCGTGCCCCAAGTCGTCTCCATGACTGGGCTGCCTCAAGTCAGCACAGAAGGCACCCACAGAGGGCACCGAACGCGACCGTTCAATGTCCAGAGCACCAACATCCATGTTCACCAGGCTCCTGTCCATGGAGTTGGAGAACATGTGCGGCTTTGGTCCCCTGGAGCCCATCCCTCGGCCACCCCCTCTCCGCGGCCTCCTGTCTGAGGGATGGAACTTGACGTAATCTTCCCAGGGGCCCAGGTGTTCATTCCTCCACAGCTCACGGCCCATCGGCCCCCTTGAATCCGCCTGGGCAGTCGTGGGGGACCAGTCGTCATGGGCGTGGCGCTTCCACTCAGGCATGGCCCCAGGGTATGGGCCCATGGGGAAATTCGGCCCATGGGGCCCCCGCCTCTCCATGCCATCCTTCAGATAGTTGTCTGCAGACAAGCAGCACACCATTGCAGCGCGCATGGGAAAGAACCAACAGTAGGGCATGGCAACGTTGTTGGTGAGGAGGGACGGCAAGACAATGGTCAAGAGACACACAAGCTGGTCTTATTCCATTGTGGCTTGCACGCACTGACAATGCACACTCCTCCACATTTCGATGTGTTCAGAAAACTGTCAGAAACTGTGTGAAATGGACAGTTGTTGGTGCTAAATGAGGATCAATCGTCACTGACAAGGGCTTCTCACCCTTCCCAAGAAGCTTTGCGCATCGTTTCCATATGTGGAACAGAGCCTCTCCATCCGTTTGCTCAAGAAGCTCAAGAATGAGCTACCGCTCCTTTGACATTCTTCTCACTCTTGTTGCAATGAACATTCCGATCAACAAAACATGTGTGGAGTTGTCTTTAAGATGCTGCATCCTTGCTCTCTACCACACAGACAAACTTTTGGCACCCACAGCGCCTTGCACTTCTCGCAAGGTGCCAAACACCCCTGCCCCTTCCCTCCAACGGGGCTAGCACGCTGCCTCCCAAACACGATGCATATCTTGGCCCAAATGAAGAGCAAACAACAGGCATGGGCAACGCTCATGCCAGGCAATGATCAGCAGGACATGGACCGTCAAGTTGCGCACAAGAACAGACTGGCCAATAACAAAGGCTCAGACCACCCATGCCCTCCAAAAAATGGACAAAGCGGCCACGCGGGAGTATGGGGCGGTCACCTTTTCCGGGCCGTCGTCCTGGGGGCCCCCTGCCCAGAAACTCGCCCTGCAGGTTGCGCCGCGGGGGCCCGCCTGGATCCCGCCTGCCACGCTTTCCCCTGTGGCTACCGCGCGCCTCGCGCAGGCACCCGTCAATGCCAGCGGGCATCCAGGGCCGCTTCTGCGGGCACAGGCGCACGAGGGCGGTGAGCCACGTCACGGACCCGAAGGCGCAACACCACCACCGCAGCAAAACCAGCGGGACACAAAACGAAAAATTTCGAATGAATGGCAAAACTGCGGAAAATCAGCCACGGGCGCGGGCAGAAAGCCGCGCCGCCCGCCCCTGGGGGCTGGGATCCCCGTCGCTGCCGCAGCGGCTGCCAGCGTTTGCTCGAAGCGAAGGCCGGCCTCACAATCCATGGGGTCACAGGGCGGGGTGGGGTGGGGTGGGGTGGGGTGGGGGGAGCGCACAGGCGCACAGAAAGAAGCCGCACGTGCATGGTGCACAGCGGGGGCATTCCCGAGTCCTGGATGCTGTGCAGGCCCCCGCCCGCCTACCGTGTTCCGCGCATGGCGCGAGTTCTCGCCCATGCCTGCCTCGCGGCCGGCCCTCTGGCGACAGCCGCCCACCCGCGGGGGGCGATGCGGCCGGCCCCCCCGCGATCGGCGAGCGGGGCGCCACGCAGGTAGGCAGCCCCGGCGCCCTGGCGAGCCTCCTCTGATCCCAGTCCCCGGATGCCGGACTCGCCGTCTGCTTGCTGACCCACTGCTCTCTTCGCTGGCAGGGTGGATGAGCGAAAGGGGGGGCTGGGGCGGCAGCGGCGGGCAGAAAAGTCATGGAGGCGGGGAGGGGGGGGGCGTGCGCGAGTGGAGACGCCGCGGGGGCTCAGGCGCGGGCGGCGAGCGGTGGGGGTTGCGAGAGAAGGCAGCCGCGACGGGCCATGGCGGGCAAGACACCTGGTGGGGTGTTGGCGTGTTGCCAAGGGCCGTTATGCCGCGTTAGACCTGCTAATTTGACCCATGTTGGGGCCCAAATGAGGAACAAGGGGGTGGGGGTGGGGGGGGGGGGGCGGGGGCGCGTTTCGTTAAAGTCGCCGTGTACTCCCCCCACGTGACTGGTAGCATTCCCCGGCCCGGCAACATACGCTTCGGTGTGGCGCGTGCCACCTTTGCGCCTGTGCCCAAGTCGTCGCGGCTTGACTCGCCACACCAACGGGGCTACCGCCCGCAAACACGGAAGTTCCCACAGGCATAAGTAGCGGCAAGCGCCGCCACAGCTGCGGGTCACCAGACTGCCGTCCCTGCAGGGCGAGACTGCACAATCTCGCGTGGCACAGCACAGGCCGGCGATCATGGCCAATCTTACCCTCCATGTGCAAAGCACGGCGCCCAACGCAAGTTTAGCTCTGCACCATGAAAGGAGCAGGCAGTGGGAAAAGGCTAGCCAAGGCGCACTGAAAGATTGGCAAGGAAGATCTTGGGACAAGGACAGTGCCGATCAACAGGGAAAATAGTCGATCGACAGAACAAAGCCTCCACGACATATACACCTTAAAGCGCTGAAGCATGCAGCCAGAATAACATAGGCCATAAGTTTGGGAAAGCTTCTTTCACATACAAAATGTATGGGCGCTCCCCTTGCCAGAAAACAACACGATCCAAGATCTATTAATTTTGGTGGGAATGGTGGGCAAGGCGAAATCCAGTCGCCAACGCGATCGTAGGGGTGCATCACAACGGAGGTGGCTTTCCCGCGCGGTTCGGGTTGGGAGACTGCCAGGGCTCAGCGAAAAGGCTCATCCACTTGCTGCAGTGTCCTACGAAACGAGGATACGCTCGCAGGCATTCTGTGATAGAATTTCTTTTCGGCATTTGGTTTTAGCCCCTGTTGCCTCTTCACGCGACCGCCTCTTTCGTTGTACGTGCCCCTCTTCGCTGCCAATCTGCGGCATAGCCCCCCTGTGTGGTGTCGGGTGGCCACCGTGCAGGACGAGGCCTTGTGAGTCAAGGCCTCGGTCGGCCGAGTTGGCAATTGAACCGGCGTCTTTGGCGCCAAGTTGCGCCATCTCGCCCTGCAGGGGCGGCAGTCTGGCGACCCGCCGCTGTGGCGGCGCTTGTCGCTTCTTATGCCTGTGGGAACGTCCGTGTTTCCGGGCGATAGCCCCCTTGCTGTGGCGAGTCAAGGGGCGGCGACTTGGGCACAGGGGCGCAAGGCCGCGTGGGTGGTACGCGCCACACCGAAGCGTATGTTGCCCGACCGGGTAATGCTACCGGTCACGTGGGAGGGGTACATGGCGACTTTAACGAAACG